TATAATAAAATAATTAAATAAATATATCTTTTAAACATTAATTTACTATTTTTCTGTATATTTCTACACAAATACGTCGTCAGTGCTTGGATGATTGACAACCCAAACTAACTCGATTTACACAGTTTAAACTGTAAGAAACTATTTAAAATATTAAAAAATATAACAGGAAGAGAAGATATTAACGTTTTAAACATCAAAAAATGCGATTAAGATCGGACATAGAAGGAAGGAGAAAAGGAAAGTGTGAAACGTTTTAATATTATTTAAAATTTTTAAAAATCTCTTTATATATATATATCTGATTCAAATATAATCCTTGTGACATTTACTGTTTAAAATAATTTAATTAATTCATTTAGCGCAACTAAGTATGTCTTGACCGAAGCTTACAACTTGTAGACACAGGTCAGCGACCCCGTAACCATAGCAACAAAAGTCGCCATTGCGAAGAGCATACACTATATGCAGTCTTGGAACCGAGCGTAACAGGTGTCACTTTTTGGACGTATCATTTTCCATTTAGATACAAATTATCTTTATATTTATTATATAATATTACTGTATAAACAAACAGTAGTTAACGATTTCGATTATAAAGCAATGGCGGCTTTTGGAAGAAAAAAAAGTTTAATACATTTCCTTCTTATTTTTATTATTTATTTATTTAAAAACATGCTGCTTATTTTAAAAATAAAATGTGCATATTTTTTTTTTATTTAAACTTTTTTTTTCTGTATTTTAAACAAGAGTTACTCCATGGTTTCTATCAGGAATTCCAATAAAAACGTTTTTCGAATTCAATAAAAATTGAACTATATAACTAATAAAATTTTGGAATATTGTCAGAAATACCGATCAATTTACTGTTTAGAAAAGGAAAAATTATAAATAATTCCTTTTTTATAATCATATTTTACAAAAAAATGTAAATAATATATCTTAAAATAATATATATAAATCCTTAAATTACTGCTAAAACTTGGATTTTGTTGGGTCCCAGAACACCTCGGTGTTTTACCAGG